TAGTAGCCCTGTTTATTAATGTTTGACCTATCGCTGTGGGAAGTTAAATGTTATTTCCTAACACTCTGATGCTTATGGACAATGATATCATCTGAAGGATGGAAAAGATTTCTTACTTATGCCAGCCAAATGATGATTCCTTTGTACATCATTATTCTGTGACTGATTTGAATTTCAAATACTTTGTGTTTGATTGTGTTCATGGAGTTCTTCTTGAATTCATTACTGGTTCATAGGTAGATTGTAGAGTACGAATTAAATGTTTCTGGTAGTTATTTGTCAGTATATAGAATAGAGTCAGTCACTCCTAATTATTACAAAAACCTCTTTTAATTCCATTGCAATAGAATATTTTTAGTTTGCTAATCAGCCACTACCTCTTTCGTTAGAAAAATCAAGTGAAATAATTGAACCCTACCGAAATAACAAGCTCAAAAAAAATCTGTTGGTTTATACTCGCTCGTGAAGAAGATATTAGATATTGAATTGCCGATTATTTTCATGTGATATAAATTGAAATGTTTCAAAATGTACATTTCATCGAAATGTCACCGGTTTGGTTATTAGATATGACGTGTTTATAATGGTTTTGTCAGTATTTTCAATCTACAGCGTTGTGTGTATTTGTCTGGCGTCAACAAGTCTGTCGGTTGACGTAACTCTTTAATTTATTTAGAAAAATGTTTTGATATGTCGATACAAATGAATGAACAATTAAACATTTTCCCAAGTGTTCTCGGATACAATACCACTTTTTTCGTGTGGTTAGCTACGTCTTCACGTTTTATGCCCATTTCGCCAGTTATGGCGTCACAAATTTATAAAGATCGTATACGTAAGCTAAGTTTTCAAAATTTCTAAAACCATTTTCAATACAACTTTTTACTGTGGATTTAAATCTCATGATTTAGATAGAGGACTGAATTCACAATGCTGCACAACCACATATAGCAAGTTTTGAACCTTGGTACAAAAGTGACTATTAATTTAGGTCAGTTTATTTACGTTTCTATTGGAACCAGGAGTACTAAACCCATATATTTCCAGAACGACTGCTTTATTGATACAATTAACCCTGACTGGCAAAGAATAAATTGAACAAATGGGAATTTGAATAACACAACTAAAGAATTTGTAAGGAGGTAGGTTATTCAATAGTATTCAATGGGTTTTTAGTTATGACCGAATCGAGATTGACTCTGATCACCAGTAAATGTTCCATACTGTCCCGTCACGTAATAAAGAAATAAATCCATGATAGAATACTTATTGAAGGAGAAGGTAGGCGTACATAGAGAGCAGCAGGTAGTCAAAAATGGCAGCAACGTGAAAAGAACATTGCGCTTAAGAAGTGTTTTTGATGCGGTTAAACAAAACGAGTACAATAATAAATGATTATTTTTCACCAATCGCGTTTTCTTCGTAGAAGTGTTCCACTACAAGTTCATTGCCCTTTGGACCTCCGGGAGCACAAACACCCTAATTCATAGCTTTTCTTTTAGTCATGAATCTAAACAGAATTTCCCGGTTTGCCTGTGCCATAGCTGGTAGCTGCGTCTAGAAGTGTCTCTTATCGGTTCAGACTTCGGGTTTGCATCTGTTTCTCATTGACAAGTGAGAACTACAATCATAATCGTTCAGAGAGATCTTCCACTTGTTCTACGATCTCCATTCAAGTGAAGCAAAGGGTCAATGCCTCGCTTAACCCATATTCTCTTTTCATGTGCTTGATTCGCCCAGGTACATTGTGTAGGGCAGCATTTTTATGACTCTCATCGTTTGCCAACAGCTAACTACTGTTGGCCTACAAAATTCTTGTGGCCACAGGGTTTGTATAAGATGCTCTTTCACGGATGTGTAACTTGCCCTATTGTGGCGAAGATTGGGCTCTTTTTTGTCCCAACCTAACTATGTTAAACACGACAGTTCAACGATCACTATTTCTAGTTAGTGTGTGGACATCCTTTTCCTCACCTAGGGGCTGATCGTTTGTTAAAATATAATACACGTTTGAGTATTTTCCATCCTTACTCCATCTAATGCGCTGCATTCATGCTCAGTCAGTTCAGAAGTTGTATTGACTACGCCAGGTCACCCGTGGAACAGGGAGGGAGTTGTACCCTGTCTGCTGATATTTAGATATAGAGTGTTGAAATCTCCAGCTAATAGTGCTTGATCAAAAGCCTCAACCAACTTATCCTTCTGGGCCATAGTAGTTGAGGTTTCTGGTAGATCCCTTCAATCAAATATTTAGTGTCGTCTGTGTTGAAGAAACTCCTGTATGATTCTTTTAGATCAGTTAGTTAGATGCCGCGTAGTGACTCAAAATAGCATCTAAAAGTGTGGTCATGCTTGAATGTGGATTATTTTTCTTCTCCGTCGGCCTTCTACTACCTCCTGTAGATGATTACGCGAATCAACTCGTTTAGAATAATCTTGATTATTTCCATGTATTGAACACTTATATAATAGTCATTTCTTTTGCTATATAGTGGTCTATTATGTACTAAATATCCCTTTGAATGTATAGCTTAAGGTGCGCCGTCTGAGGTGTTCGAAGTTAAGACACGATTTTTTTCTTTTTCAAATAGGAATCAATATTGATATTCAAATGGAAGGAAGCAACTCGTATTCAATGCCTTATATACACAACTACTTTTCATTACAAGCAGATACACTAAAAAGAATCGTCCTGATACTTGTATCTTATACGGACCAGTGGCACAGTTTTTTAAACAGAGCAGGTAATGAGGCCACTCCATTTTCGACTATAAATTAAGTCATCCTCTGAATAATGTTTACATTTGAGATTTTGTAGAAGACCCTTGGCTCAGGAAGTTGATCGTTTCGAAATTCCATCTTCACATCAAATGTTCTAATCATCACCACGAGTTTAGGATGTTCCTTCTATCGTCTTCTAATTGCGCTTTCCAGATTCTTTGAGTCTGAATGATGTTTATTGTTTATTGCTATCCTTTTATTTACGCAATTTGATGCAAGTCTCTTGCATGTCTCAAATAGGTGCTGCTTTTGTCCACGTTTAATATTTTTTACAATATCCGAACTCTAACAAGTTCCACAAAGTTGGTGGAATTTTTTGTACGGTTCGTATTCATTTTCTTCCTATAGTGTTAATACAGTTGTACTGAGCCTCTGTACCGGTAACGTTAGATTTTCTTGTACTTACATTCTTTCTAATAGTATCTTATTTGCATATTTTCTGCACCATCTCAGATATTATTTATTCTGTCATAATGCAGTTTTTTGCTATAATATTCTTTTGAATTATCGAACTTGTGAATCGCTCACATAACAGTTGTTTATGAGTTGACTGCAGTCTTATCATAGATGTTCATGATGAAAGCATAAGATATTTCAGTCACTTAATAATTCTGTAACCACCGATTGTAGAACTTCAATATGTTGTTCATATGTTTAGACAATTTATACGATTTTGCCAGCCATCAATCATATCATGCAACCTTTTTACAGCGCTCTCCAGTTCTTTCATTTCAACCCAGTCTCTACTGATCCTTATTTGATAATATGTATTTCCTTATCAAGTAGCGCTGTTCCTTTATTCATGATCTAAAAATGCATTTATATTAGCTTTCTCAGTCCTGTCAACATGGTATGTGAAGTGTAAAGGCCAATAAAAGAGGATATTTACAATAAGATCTGCTTTATCAGGTGGGATTAAGCATCGAATTTTCGCTTCTGCTACAGAATTTTTGTATGTATGCTTCAGCATCACCCTAGTTCATATATCACCTTCTGGTTTATACTTACATTATAATTCTCAGCATGACATGTACAGTTAACTTTTCTTTTGTTTTAGTATAGAATCCAAGACCTCCTTTTGTCTTATGAAGCAGATTCTATGACGGGTTATTTGCTCGGATTCAGTAATCGATTCGGTCCTTTACTGGGTAGGTAGGTACTGAAAAATTTTCCATGGTAATGGTGTATTCACCCAGGTTTGTTCACTGACTAAGCAGCACATACATTAGTAAAGCAGCTTTTTGTGTAACAAAGAAATGTTGTTTAATAAGTTACACATTTGAAATCATTAATCGATAATTATAAGTTGTAGTTTCAGTCTCTCGACTTGTGATACGAGTTCCTAAGTATATGTCCTTAAATAGTCATTTCCTGACACAATGAACTTAATTACCCGAAAATTGACTGCTCAACAGAATAAAATTGAAATTAATCGCCTATATCCACTGACTACAGGAAAGGATTACGTGAATTGCATGAATGATACAAATATTTAGGACGATAACGAAAGTATGTGAATGTGTCCCCGGAATTTCTTCCGTCCTCTAGTTCATAAACCATTACTTGGATCTCGGGCCTGTATATCTTTGTCGTAAAAGCGCTTTTTGAAATGATCGCTCAAATGAATGTCTGATCGTATCTCAATAAATGCAAACTTTCTGAATGCGATAACATATTGCCAGTGCACTTTGTTTTCTGAGCACAGAAAACGAAACACCACCACAATAAATATTAGAATAATGTCATTCAACACTGGTTTATTAAGCAGTAATACATTAACAGACGTTTTGTAAGAAATGTTGCTTCGAAGTTCCCTCAGCGATCACCACCATAAATAAAGTTTAATGATTAAAGGTTTCTTTCATGGCAGGCACATACAGCGTAGTAGGGAAATGTATAAATTAATGAATAGAAGTCTACGACTAAAATCCCACGTGGTGAACAATGGAGTAGACAGAAATGTTACAGCACACTTCGAATCTCCGAAATCAAGGCTATGAGTGAGAAACAGAAAACTCACTGGCCTAGGTAGGATTTATTGAACAAAAAAAGGTAGCGCAATTACCAAGTAATTGATTTTCGTGCACAATCCGTACAAAGGAACAGCAGACATCTATGATCAGTGGGATTACGCGAAAACATCATACAGAAGCGAAAAATATGGCTGCACTTTTAGGTTACAGAAGTTACTTAAACCCAACGGGAAAATGGAACTGTACCGAAACAACTTGAGAGCGAAATAAAAGTCGATCGGTTCATACTAGCTGGTGATCGAATTATTGAATATGTATGTGTTCAAAATGCTCATCGACAAAGAAAACTGCTGGTTCATACGGTTTTACCTTTTATTGTTTTAACGAGCAGTGCGACGCCATCTTTGTATCTTTGTTCGTATCTGTTGCTGTTTTAGGAGTAGTATCTGCATTTTTGATGCCGGCGAAAAAGGCCAGTGCGATAGTAAGTGTTTAATATTATAATCATTATTATTCTCTTTTTTCACAAAATCTTTGGAAAATTAATTGTTTTGTAGGGTGTCTATCGGTTTGAAGTATTTTCTTCAGAACCATCTTTGTCATGTTATGCAATCGGTTTTCCTTTTCTAATTATCAAGTTTACTTATTTAACCCCAAGCTAGTGTGTTTTATCTGCGTCCTCATGACTGTCAACAATTAGCAATTCATATAACATAATATCACTCCTAGGTTTTCGGTTCACAGTAGTCCAATTTATTATGAAAGTAAAGATTATCTATTAACCTAATATACTTTAACTTGAATAACACCTCAATGCTTATTGCCGTAATTCCCACGTCATTTGGGCATGCCATATTGCATTGTATTCCGAGTCAGTGATTGTATGGCTCTACTGTTAAACTGTAACGTGGTTCATATGGTCATCTGGCTGAATGTTTATTCAAGAATTCATATTCAGTAGCCTGTATTTCTGAGCGATTCAACATTGGTGTATTGCGAGTAGTTTTCCACGTTAGTACCTAATGGCTTGTCCTCAGATAATTGACTTGAACTACGAGCTATTTTACTTTTATCGTACCTCTTCTGTAGCTATGTAGTGCGGTGGTGTTAACCATCCTATGATTTTATTTGTACGCTTGAAACCACTTACTGAAATAATCTAATTACACCTCATTGGTATATTTCCTTCCGAACCAATATACCAGAAGGGTATTTTTTCTGAAATTAATATCCCCTCATTAATTTAAGATCATCACTCCTAGTTTAATACTGACTGTGCTTTTTATTTGATCGGTTTGTCTGCATTGTTTGACCTAATCGATATTCGGGATTTATGTCGTTATTCGCTGACTAAACAGATTATCATGTATTCAAGAAATGCCCTCAAATTCTCTTAGCATTTGTTCACAGAAATTTAGATCGTAATACTCAAGTCTTATGCTTTGCTATCAACCAAATCTTGGTGCTTTTGAAATTGTATTTTGCAGATGACACGGGGTCGGAGTAAGTCCATCAATCGGAACACCTCAAACAAACGTACACGAACCCCAAGTTTTTCACGGGCCAGTTCGAAAACACCCACTAGACGAATCCGAACACCAGCATCTGAGTCCAAGGTGAAACGTAGACGTTCTCCAAGTGTTGAGCCCAGTGAAGAGTCTGTCCAAAGTGATACTAAAGGAACTGTACTTGACCGCACTGTTCAAACTGACGCAATAAAACCACTCATTCCGAACTACGGATTATCTAGTTTGTCTCGAAGAATTATACAGAAAATAGAAACAGAACACCCAACTCATTTTCACAAAGATGAGTAAGTTCGATGTTTTGGATTGATGCATAGCTGCAATATATAGCTGTAACTTTTGGAGTCTATAATAGCATAGACTTTCGCTTTGTACATGAACAGCACATAGGTCCAAATTGTTCTCACTATGGCCTTCCCCACAGCATCAAAACGATCTCAATTTATTTTAGATTTTAACCAACTTTAATCCAATGTTCTGCACTATCTAGCCATTTATTTACTTCCGACTGGTTTGATTGAATTTAACAATAGATATTTTTGGATATCCATGAAGTCGAGGAATCAACTTGTCGATATTTGAATTCCTCATATAAACTGATCATTATTTTGGTGAAGATTTCCTGGGGTGTCCTGTATATGTTAATCAAGATATAATTGCGAAATAATTAGATTGACTGCTAATGCTACCCCGTGGTAATCATTTTTACTTTTAGGATACTTTTGAGATATGAGGGAACAAAAGTTGTTTAAGAAGTTTCCAAGAGAAGTAAAGCTAGCTAATTTGTTTATTATCTACACTTCAAATATTAAGTAGATGTTCAGTGTGAATCCATTAAAAGGTGTGTCCATTTAGCGTTTGAAATGCGGATGTTAAATAAACTAACCCGATTTCTCACAGTGAACTTCTTAAGCAACCAGCGTTTCAGTATATACGAATACTACTTGTTATGTTAATGGGTTTTAGTCATAAACTGGTCGATCAATAGTGTTGACTCATTGTATGTTTATCCTATCATGGTTTTAGAACTATCTTATCGACTCTAATACGCTCAAACAATGTAGTGCTAACAAAATGTTGTTAAACATATTGTAAAACAATATATTGTAAGACGCAAAATATTGTGGCCATAAGTTAATCTGTTATTTCAAAGGTTTTGAAAGCAACTATCTTAACCACTCAGCAGTAACCATGTGAAGATTTTGTAGTTTTCAGTTTTCTTTGTCCCATCCTCAGATTTGCGAGTGTAATATCTTGTCAACAGACTAGTAATTTTAACTACTAACAATATACCTGCTTGTAATTGTTCTAAAGTCACTTCTCTTTTGTACGTATCATATGAATGTATTATGAAAACTTGTCTGTATCTAAACATATTGTCCTCTAGACATTTTGTATTTACAGAAAACCGTACTAATAATCTAAGATGCCCCAGAAATTCGTTAAAATTAAGTAAAGTAACAATGCTGTCAGTAAATAAGCTAGCTTGTTAGCAGGATACTTTCTTAAGCATATTGTTTTATATTTTCTTCTTATAGACTGATCCGAAGGTCAGAAGTGATCCAGTCACATAAACCAGCAACAATAAATCCACTTTTGACAAGTTATCGTAAAACGTTTAGTCCAACTGTTGTTGCTATTATCCAAGTACTCTTCGTTGTACCATTCGTTTACTGGCTAAATCTTCTGGTATTCGCACCCGTTTCAGTAAGTAATTTTTCTGGAGAAAACAAAAGCTTGTGGGAATCAACGTTTCCATTAATTGACATTCTTTGGCCAACTGGAGATAACAGGAGTCTGTGGGGTCCTGCACGTCCATTTATTGGAGTTCTCTGGCCAAATGACTGGCACGTTTACATCAACATTCAGAGTTCTGTGCTTGTTTTCATGTACCTTTTGTTGCAGTGTTTAGTAGCTCGTTTCATCCCTATAGGTCGACTTGTGACTATGGGACTCCGAAATATGAACTACCGCTGTAATAGTAAGTTACTTTCTTTTACTATTAAAACTAAGTCTTTATCAAACAGTTAGTTAGAAAGCATAACTATTCCCTCTATCATAACTAACTTAAGCATTAATTTACAGTGAATACCTGAATAGCGTAGAAATTAAGTACTACGTACTTCATGCCATTGTCTTAATAATAAGCAGCTGGACAACCAGTGCAATTGATAATTCAATTGTTCTTTTTCAGATAATTTAAGTAGTTTATACATTCGAAAAACAAATGTACCAAACCTAACTTAAGTATTGTTTCTTGTCAAATCTCCATCATACTTTTAATGTTACATGAACATGCACTTTTAGAAGTAATATTTGTTAATGAAATCTCTTTGAAATAGATAAAAAAAAACATTTTACACTAATTAATCTACACTTTCTATTGATTTCCATGAGTTTAACCTTGTATATATTTATCCTTATAGGTCTGATATCTTTTGTCATGTTTGTTGGATTGTTTACTTTCGCTGAATTGTCCGAATATACCATAACCAGGCATTTAAAACCTACTGAAATGCTTCCAAAGCTGTGGCTCAGTTTACTGACTTCAACTTGTTTGGTGTCTGTTTTTCTATCTTTGGTTGCGTATTTCGCCTCTAAGACAGTTATGCGTCATACAAGACAGTCAGCGGCTAAAACAAGTAAGTAAAATTACTTGATTGTAGGGTTCGTGTTCACGTCTAATCGGTGTCAGTGAATGCATAAGTAATGTTAGTTGCTTTTATATTCGTACTTTGTTGATCTTCAAAAAAGTGTGTGCCATTTAGTTATTTGTGTAACTGCAGAGCACATATGTTCATCTCAAAATAAAAAATATGTACGCGTTGTTGAATAATGACTTTAACCTGCTCTTAGGCAATAATTGCTGTGTGAATCTGTTTTAACGCTTACTTAGATAATTCCCAGCTAAATCCTATTGCTTAGTATTCTCTGACCACAATACACCGGACAAGTTCCCAAGAATCAAAACACACGGTTGAACAGGAAAAGATTATATTCCAAATAGCAATGTTAAATGGAAATAAGAAGCCAAAGGTGATGGCGAAAGCGAAGAAGGCAAGAATAGATACAACGTCAGTCTATTTATAGCATTTACATGGAAAGCTTCTGGATAGAAATTCACGTGATCGACTGGATTAGATTTAACCAATCAGCACGCAGCTAACAATACGAGAATTTTCTACCCTGTTCTCCAAGATTCGATCAGGCGCTGATTGGATAGGAAATTAGCCAATCAGCGCGCAGCAACGTAGTCATGCTGTAATTCCATCTATGTCCCACTAACAGTATCCGATCACGCCTAAAAGAAATAAAACGTACTAAGCTTCTCATCTTTGCTAGACTCACTATCAGTGCTGATCGTATCTCACTTAATTTCATAACTATTTAAATGTCTTTTTCACAATTTATAGGTAGTGCGTTCCTTGATTTTTGGTGCGGTCGTTACGTGCGACCCCAATGGTTCGGTATTGATTGGAAAATGACTATAACTCGATCAGGATTAATGGGATTGCCTTTAATAGACCTAACGTATATATTCAAACAGTATGAGCAATATGAACGCATTAGCCCGGCTCTTGCGGCTCATGCACTTATGCACACTTTATGGGTGCTTGACTTCTTCATTTTCGAAGTACGTTTTGTAAAGTATATTTTCATTCGTAATTGGCTTTTTCATTCTTTGTTGTATATTATAAATAGCCGTAATAAGTAAGAAATCTACCTGTAGGAATAGTAAATAGTATAAATTGAAATTCATATAATAATATTCTGTCACATATACCATGTTTCTTCTGCCTATTTCAGTATACCTTCGCTTCTACCTACGAAGCTCAATCCGTAACATTTGGTGCTTGCTTTATTATCAATCGACTTGTCGCTCTACCTTTCATATATTCCATAACAAGTTCGTACTTATCTTCAAGGCCTGATGTTGGCAGGCAACTAACTAGTTCTTCAAAACATAGTTGTAATGCTTGGATTATGGGAATTGCTATTGTTTTATTCTTACTGGGGTTATGGATTCACCGTAGATCGAATAACCAGAAAGACAGATTCAGACGTGAACCTCACCATCCATCGTTTGCTAGTGAGTTAACCTATATTGTTTACCGAGATTGGTTTCTCGAAATAATATCATATTGATTCATTGTATAGCTCAAGTGCTTTTTAATGCCTCATTTGTCTAGTGTCACATTCTTATCGTGTTTATTTATATCTATAAATTACAAGTAACATCTGTTGTCCTACACAATTAGCATGTAGTAACTGTCATATATTCAATACTGAAGGTAGACTAGTTTTATTTGTAGCGTGACATCGCGCTTCTTTACGCTTGGTTTATTATTTTCAACATATCTAGAAAATTCCTTTCTCTATTCATTCACTTTCCCAGATAATTGACCATGAGTACGTTAATGCTATGGTAACTGTGTATGTCAGTGTTAATCTGCCGTGAAGTAGTCGAGTGTGTCGATCGCCTCGCTTATCTCGGGAGTCTCATCATCGCTGATAGCCTGGTGACTGACGAAATCTCAACGCAGTTACAGAAAGCTCGATTTGATTTTGCCAATTTACGCCGTTTATGGCGTAGGCGAGATATCCGTTCGCTGACCAAAGGACGGGTGTACTGTGCAGCAGTTCGCTCCGTTCTCCTATATGGCTGTGAAACATGGCCGTTAAGAGTAGAAGATGTTCGTAGGTTACTAGTATTCGATCATAGATGTCTTAGAAGCATTGCTCGTATATCGTGGGACGACCGAGTAAGCAGTGCTATCGTTAGTAAACGAGTTGTAGGTAGGGATGGCAAATTAATAAATGAAGTAGTGAAACTTTATCAGTTGATGTGGTTGGGACATGTGTTACGTTTGCCTAACCACCGACTGCCTCGACGAGCTATGTTTTGCAGTGTGGGAGTAGACTGGAACAAAGCTAGGGGCGACCAAACCAAAATATGGCAGAAATCCATCAAGTCAGTGACAACTGGTTTGAGTCATGTTGGTAGATGTAGGCTATGTGGTTGGGGTCAGCGAGACGATAGTCATCGATGGTTAGAGACCTTGAACGATATGGCTCAGAATCGTTTGCAATGGCGCAAGGGCATCCATTCGTTGTTCTCTCTCAAATCCTAATCTTCTGGATTCATCAGCACGTCTACCTTTGTCTTTCTAACCTTATCTCACTGAATTATACATCTTGAATAATAATATCTTCAAACGTCTCTGTGCTAATAATGTGGTATGGCAACATGAACTTATGTATATACGTACGTTGCAACTGACTGACTGAGATTTGGAGTAAGAACACTTCTTTGATTGTTCTTAATAATACAGTATATCGTAAATTAGCTTTTAACCGCTAGTTCGCGTTACTCCAGTAAAAGTGGTACGTTTACAGTTTCATTTACATATTATTTAATATGGTCAGAATTACTCATTCATTTGTCTGTTCCCGTTTTTAGATACAGAGATTGTGGCTGGTCCAGGTGCTCAGCGATTGCTTGTTTCAGGTTGGTGGGGATGTGTTCGTCACCCTAATTATGTTGGCTACATTATTATGGCCATGGCAATGGGAATTCCATGTGGTGAGTTTCTATAACTTTTTAAGTATATGAAAGAGCAATGCTGTTTGAGTTACCAGTGCTCCTAAAAACTATTCATGTTTAACACAATGTATGAAGATAATTCAGAACCTCAAGATCTCATAACTGAATCACGGCTACTTAAAGGTTTCCTAGATAATTGTCAGACTTATCTTACAGTTATCTGGGCAATCGCCAAACAAACCCTTGTTTTGATTGACGCTTTTACTAAAACCTATAAATTTTCTTGTTAATCGTTGGCGATGGACACTGAATTCCTATTTTGCTTTCTTTACAGGTTTTGACTCTCCACTCCCTTGGGTTATTCCTGCCATCATAATTCTCAATCTTATTCATCGTGCCAGGGTTGTGGAGGACGCTTGTTTAAGAAGACATGGCCCAGCATGGCAAAAGTATGCAGCTCTAGTGCCGTATCGATTTATACCTAAAGTTTTCTAACTGTTACTATTTATTTAATAATATTTACTACTGCATTTATTTTCGCTCAACAGTTAATTCTTACCAACTTTTATGTTTACAGATTTTGTGCTCTTTATTTCGTGTAATTTCTTAGAACTTTTCAAATTGGCAGCATTTTTGTGTATATTTAAGTTTTGTTATGGTAGTAGTCTGTTAGGTGTTCAATTTCCTCTTTGATATTTTTAATTCCAAATGATTTGTTTTAATAATAAATGAATGTTTTTTTTAAAAAAAAAATAATTAATTGTTTATCTCTATAAGAAATCACGAAAAGACGATGTAGTTTTTTCTTTAAAAAAATTTTTACGGGGCTAAAAGTGGGTTTACAAAGTATGTATATATATATATAGCAAGTTTGTAGCGGTATATTGCAACTGCTCATTCCTTGATATGTTATAGCAACCAAAAAGATATCGTATTCTGTCTGTGTAATGCATACTATTTGGTCATCCTTCAATTGGTTTATAAAAAAGGGTTGATACAAACTTTTGCCTGAAGCGAGTAATTACACTGAGCACAATTACACCGTCCTAGGTAAAATAAAAGAAGGAAAGGAGAACATTTAACTCATCATAGTAAGTTGTGTATTGTAAAAATAAATTTCCATTGCGGCATAAAGATAGTTAGGTTATTTTATGTGATCCTAGAAGTGTTAATAAATAAACAGTAAGAAACTGTTAAGATTCCAGCAACTCACAACGAGTTTTGTCTTCTGCATTCGAATGTAGCCAAAATGTAATTCTAACAATATACTTGTTTGATCTTAGGTCTGGTAGCACAATAAGCTTTCTCTCTTTCAAATTGTATAACTTGACATTGCTCAACAATCAAGTGCAAGTGTCTCAGTATTCTGCATAAATGACAGGCCGACATATAACGTCATTATATACTGTTTGTCCCTTGGGTGTAATCATGGAAAGGACACCCAATGGGTAAGAGGAATAAATAGGGTGTTCAATAGGTCAGGAAATGCATATCAAACAAGTTAGATAATTATACTACTTACCTTTATCGAAAGGGCATATAAGTGGTTGACAATGACATGATTTGGTTGAGGCAGCAGATTTGGATCGCAATGAATGTTTGTGTCCATATTTAGAATACCCTGAAATCAAAATGACATGCAAGAACACAAGTAGTAAGATAGATAAGTAGTTCTTATTGGTATATTACAATATTCTGATACAGTAGGCCGTGAGACACCAGTTTTCGCGTCTCATCAATCAGCAGACTCTTTGTGATTACATTTAAAACTCTGTGCGACTTGAATAGTGATGACTTTTACAGACAATGTAACAGGATGTAGTGCATTTAAGATGACTGGCATTACTCCGTGTATATTTAGCAAAAGTTCATTGTGATCAGTGGGTTTCTAACTCACTACTTAAATAGTTAAACAACCAATCACCTTCACAGATGTTTGGGGTAAATGGATATACCATGTTGTGCAACATGATTGGCAGGTTATAATAGCCGGTATCGAAGCTCAAATCTCATTCAAAAAGTAATTGGACAACTCTTTCGGTTGGTCTTGACCAACTTCATACGTTTGTCACATCCCCTTGATGGTAGTCTTAGCGTGACCATCCTAAAGGACATTCGTAGGTTATTAGTATTCGATTATAAATGTCTCCGAAACAATGCTATAATTAGGAAACGAGTACTAGGTAGGGATGGCAGATAAATTGATGAAGTGTTCAAACGTTATCAATTGAGGTGGTTGGGTTGGGATCCCCAACTTCCTCGACGAGCTATGTTTTGTGGTGTAGGAGTGGGTTGAAATAAAGCTTGGGGTGGCCAAACTAAAACATGGAGTCACTGACAAGTGGACTGAGTCATGTTGGTAGATGTAGGCTACCTGGTTGGAGTCCGCGAGACGAAAGTCACCGATGGTTAGAGACCTTGAACTACATGGTTGAAAACCGTTTGCAATGGCGCAGGTGCATCCACTCTTTGTGTTCTCTCTAATTCTAACCTTCTGAATTCCTCATAATCCCTATCTTTCTGCTTCTAAATTTATCTCACTGAATTATACTTCTCGAATCATATCTTCAAACCCTAATCTTCTTGATTACTGCTAATACTTCTACTATCGCTACCACAACTGGATTTAAACTGATAGTTATGTCTCTCTGCTGGTGCGGGTATGTAAACCTGAGCTTATGTACTCATCTTGTACGTTGTAACTGACTGATTACCTTCCTAAACATATCCATCTCATTTTGCGTAAACGTCATGATGCATAGATTTATCGAATAGTGATAGATTTGTTAGTAAATCAAGTGTGAAGTACACAGCCACTAAATATCTCGCTCTTGTTGCATATTGGTTACCCAAAGATCGGCTTGTATAAAAGAGACAACGCCTATCTTGATGATTGCAAACTGTTTCATCATTCTAGGAATTGACGTCACAGTAAATGTAGAAAGTGCAATTATTTATTAGTAGTATGTACCTATTTTTGTGTATTCTACCATAAAAAATTTACTTGTGATACTGATATGAAAGAAAATTTATGTATTTTATCAACTGAACATTTGTACACATGATAAAATTTATATATATATTTTTTATCAGTACATTGAAATATGAAAGTCAAGTGATGATTTCAATATTTCATACTTTAAAACTCGAATATTTAATTTATTTAAATGAGTGTGTTATCATCATGACGTAATATATCGAATAAAAATCTTTTTTTTATTTATTGAAAATATCACTAATAGACTAAGATGTATACTGAATTAAGTGTGCCGTCTATTGACATTATCTATTGACATTTGCCGTAATCATTATTCTTTTCTCATTGCTAGTTCTTTGTGTGTTGATTTATACTACTTATTTATATTCAGTAAACAGTTTTATCTCCAATAATTTTTAAATGTGTTGTAATGGAAGAGCCTTAAATAGCATGTCCAGATTAAACTCACTAAGAACGTCCACATATGCATGACATTGAACAAAATGCTAATATAATGAGAATATAGTTTATAGACAATATATGAGTGATTTTAAGGAGACTTGGAGACATTTGAAGTATTCGTTAGGTTGATTAAGAGTTTATGGTTAGCAAACATAGCAGCTACATTGATGAGATGGTCGGACTTGCCTATCGTGGCGACTTAACCCAACTATACTGACTGGAAAATATGTTCCTTTAGGTCCAACCATTCCAAGCAGGTTTATTGGAAATGGTAAAAAAACTAAAGACAGCAAATTAAGACGAAGCTGTGCTGCTGACTGTAGAGTAGTCTGAAAGAAGTATGGTATTTCCCTCAGACAACTAGCGATAGTGCCTCCTAAAAATGACAGAACTCACCTTACACCACGGATTCTAGTCTCCGGCTGTAAGGTTTTATGAAGCTGACAATTCAAAAACTTTCCATAAAAGGGCGTGCATGACGGGCCTCAAGCAGTACTCTTGGGCTAGGCTATGTGGTCACGCTCACAGGTCGCAAAAAGACCAACACTAACCCAACTTTATCTTCACGTTTATAGAGGAATAGTTTTCCATGGTGGAACATGCTCAACCACCGAAAGCCTCGACCAGCGATGTCTGATGTAAGAGTAGGCTGAAAGAAAGCTAGGGGCGGACAAATCAAAACATAGCACAAATCCATGAAGTCACTAACTTCTGGATTAAACCATGTTATTAAGTGTAGACTATCTGATTAGTGTCCGCAAGACAACTATGAGAGAGATTTTGAATTAAATGGCTCATAGTCGTTTGCGATGGCGCAGATATATCCATTCTTTGTCTTCTCTCAAATTTATTCCACTGAACTATACTTCTTGATTCATATCTTTGATCCCTGATCCTTTCCATCGGCTCTAATACTTCTACTACCTCTACCACTATAGGAATCAAATTGACGATTCCATATCTTTGTGTTAATGTAGTATGGCAACTTGAACTGATCTATGCACGTACAAACTTCTACATTGTTGTTGACGATTATCGTTTTACATAACAAATTGACGTCAGCTATAGTGCAAGTATGCGTTGAAGCTAAGTGCATAAATGAATTTTGGGCAAATTTGAAAGGTGTTAGCTTTATCTGAGATTAGTTCATTTGTATGTTATAATCCCAACAACAATGACAAAACTGACAATATGAACTATGGTATTGAGTAATATGACATATTTAAACGGGAAGATTCAACTTATATCAGATTATTACGATAAAGTTGGAATATATATATATATATATATATATATATATATATATATACAATTCATTTGATGACGTATAACACAATTTAGATTTAAAATTAATATATGAAGAAAAAACGAAGCTAAATTTTGAGAATCACTTTCAAAATTTACCTGTAATAAATGCGGTGGTAATAAAGGCGGTTGAGGTATTGATTTAACACTTGGTGAAATTGACATATGTCTAGTTTGTACTGATGTTGATTGATTTTTTAATTCACATATATCTGTAGGTATAAAACGACCATATTCTCCAGGAGGCGAATGACTCAAACCATCCACCTTGTATAAAATATAAAACAGAGATAAATTGTTTTTATATGACTGAGAGAAATGACACACTTGCGATTGAAGTCTGGCAAAAAAATTGGGGCACGATTTAAACTATGGAAATTTTGTAATCTCTACAAAACATCAATACTGATAATAACCATGTGTAAACTAGTGACTAGCTTCAGGAAGCATCTGCTAGAGTTCTGATGAGAAGCCGTGACCAGTGGATTTCCACCAAATCACACCATGTGAAACAATTTTTAGCCTCACGGGTAATGAACAATGGTTGAGTATTATTGCGAATTGATTGAAGTTAGATATGTAAACCATTGGATGCTAGCTAAGAGTTGACGTACCAAAACTCCTAAACCCGATCCCTAGTGATGGGGTCGTAAATACTTACTACTCCTGAGAAATTTCATACTTAACACAAAACAGCCATTCATTGCTTCCTAGTTTTTTTTTAATGGTAATTTTAGACAGGTTCGCGATTTTAATGAAAAACAATTTTTGTCGACTAAACAAACATACCAGTAAAAAATGATTATTGTAATGAGTAAGAAGCATAAATTGACGAAAATAAGCTGAGCAAGTTAATAAAATTCAACATAAATATGCATAAAATTGATTATTTTCAACCAAAAAGGCACAATAAAATTGATATATGTGTGTTTTTTTCTACAAGAAATGTAACAGAACTACAAAAAAAAGTATTCTTAGTTAAAAAAAAAACTGATTTAATCAAATAAAATTCAAGACACCAATTGTAATATTTGCATTATTAATGTAAATTACCGATTATAGGATGAATTGAATGGGGACTTGATTTATAATATTATTATATACATGTATATGAATAAGTAAATGTTAAGATATTCATTCAATATCCTAAGAGAATTATTGGTCAATTCCTATTAGTTAATTCCTACTGGTCAATTTTATGGTCGTCCTGACTATCAATGATACTTCAAATGTTACTTCCTATTGGTCGTCTTAACTGTCAATGTCACAGACTTCGATGCTGTTTCATATTCGACCAAAATGTATAAATACGCATTATCTGTAACGTTTTATGACCAGGACCAGGACCCGGTCCCGGATCCCTAGTCCGGGGTCCTGGTTCTCTTCGTACTTTCTGGATGATTGTAGAATACAGGTTCTACTTTATATCAAGTCTTCTTATTTTTACTAAATATAGGGGTTGAGATAATCGGATTAGAGTAGCATGTCGTGTCGCCGGATCCTCAATCCTCGCTCTCGTTTTCCGACTAGGTAAACTCGTAATAGTTCAAGAATATCAAAATGACCTATTTACGTGCAGGCATAACAGTAAACTGTCTAACAGATATATCAGTAGTAAACAAAATTGAATTTTGATGAGAAAATAGATTGGAACGGAACTGAAGTGACATCAGAATTTGAGTGGCTCAGTCAGTCCAGTCCGTTACAACGTACAATTTCGTACATACGTACATCAGTTCAGGTTCCCATACCACACATTTAGCACAGAGACGCAATTTTCAGTTCTAATCCCAAAGTGGTAGAAATCGGAGAAGCATTAGCGATAAAGGAAAAGATTATAGTTCGAAGATATTTATTATTCAAGAATTATAATTCAGTGAGATAAATTTAGGAAGAGAGAGTTGATGAAGAATACAGATGGTAGTAGAAATGAAAATTAAATTGAACCGACCAGTGAAACCATACTATATAAACGACCTTGAGAGACTAATCAACCACTCAAAAGAGTAATTAGTTATAAAACAATTAACAGCAAGTAATAAAATTAATGGGTTACACATTTTTGAAATGTAAATTGAGCTTTAAAGTATTGATTTATTGTTCATTGTAAATGAAAAAGCGTTTAGGTCAAGTATGCCAGAATTCAAGGTCAAGAAGTTTATGATTAGGAGTGTAGTAAATAAAATATTAGGGTTATGAGTCATAGGGTTGCTGTTAGGAGCATTATCTATACACATGCCTCTATATATACAGTGAATCACACCAAGCACTTTCGGATAAAATCTGAATTTGGAACAAGTGTCTTTCTTGTAATGTAGCATACGCTTTATGTAACATCATTTTGCTTGAGGTCGGTCACGCACGGTCTCTTTTTAGGGGGAACTTTTTGGATTGTCAGCATTACTCTTTATAAGGCCTTCCCGCTGAAGACGGGAATCCCTAAGGTGAGGGGTGATATTTTTAGGGTCAACCTTTTCTAACCCCATCCTTCCGTTGTGTGAGAGAGCAGAATCGCTGCAGATGCTTATTATCCGAGACAAAAAAACCCTACTGTCGTCAAACCACTCCACAGTCAGCAGCACGGCTACACCTTAAGATTTTAATTTGCTGCTTTTCATCTTACTGTTCCGCAACCGACCTGCCTGATATGGTAGGACCTAAAGGAACATAAGTTAATACAGTTTGGTTGGGTCTATCGTGAGATAGGCAAACCTGACCAGTACTTCAAGGTAGCAACTACGGTCACGATTCAAAACACTACATTAGTGAGCACAAAGTAGAAATAACCTTATATGAGAATACAACAGCAGATAACATATTCACTTATTTTAATGCCAAGCTTTACGCTTGAAAATGTACACAAATATTGTTCTCTAAACCTTCGAAATTTTAATCCTTCATCTTTTAAAAAGCCATTCAGAATTCTCTGAAAAAAAAATATCATCACAGCATTACATATATAGCATACTGAAAAAAAAACTCATTAATCAGGAAACTAATCATAGACACATTGATCAATGAATAAGCTACATAAAAACACACACTGTACACATTGACATTTCGTCGTAATCTTTTCAGAATAGACATTCCCAACCAACTTAACATTCTTCATTAAAAATCTAACTTGTTCATTGTTAGTCACACAAAAAAAATTAAATTTTAAAATTCACTAGTTTTAGCATCATTCACCAAGACGAAAAATAAAACAATCTTGTGACAAAGTTGTATAAAGAATTTTCAACTAGTTTCAAAAGATTAATTGTTCTACATTATGATCATATGAATTTTAATGTTTCTCTATTGAAAAGAGTTGTAATATACAAAGGGTTTCAATTACAACTAATAACGATAATCATAATATCATAAGTTTATTGTGAATTTAGAGAATAGCTGATTTTAATACTGAAAAAAACATAACAGGAAATACCATCTATCGGGTAAATGAAAAAGAAAATTGAATATTGAATCGGTATTTTGCTCGATTGGCTTTTGCCAACACGAGTCACTACTTATGGTGTAGGCGAGATATTCGTTTACTGACTAAAGGACGAGTGTACTATTGTACAGTAGTTCGCTCCGTCTTACTTCATGGCTGTGAAACATGGCCAGTGAGAGTAGAAGATATTCGTAGGTTACTGGTTTTCGATCATCAATGTCTCCGAAGCATTGCTCGTATATCGTGGGACACCCGAGTAAGCAACACTGTTATTAAGAAACGGGTACTAGGTAAGAATGGCAGATCAATAGATGAAGTATTGAAACTTCATCAGTTGACGTGGTTGGGACATGTGTTGCGTATGCCCAACCACCGACTGCCTCGACGAGCTTTGTTTTGTAGTGTAGGAATAGGTTGGAAGAAAGTTAAGGGCGGCCAAATCAAAACATGGCACAAATCCATGAAGTCACTGACAAGTGGACTTAGCCATGTCGGTATTTGTCGACTACCTGGTTGAGGTCCGTGAGATGATAATAATCGATGGTTAGAGATCTTGAATCACATGGCTCAAAATCGTTCGCAATGGCGCCAGTGCATTTATTCTTTGTGTTCTCTCAAATCTTAATCTTCTGGATTCTTCAACACCTCTAGTTTTGTCTTTCTAAACTTTTCTCATTGAATCATACTTCTTGAATAGTATCTTCTAATCCTAACCTCTCCGATTACTTCTAATTCCCTTACTACCTCTAATACTATTGGATTCGAATTGACAATTACTTCTCTGTGCTGATGTGGTATGGCAACATGAACTGATGTACTTACATACGAAGTTCTACGTTGCATCTCACTGATTGACTGACTGACGGTATTTTGCTAAAAACGATTTCCATTCGCAATACGACTACTGACAGTAAATATTTAGCTGAATATTTTTCATATTCACCGATAGTTTTTTTTTAAAAAAATACTTATGTGAGTCGAAAATCAAGTGAACTAAATTTACACGGATTAATCATTAACTAGTTATCAATATCATGACTATTTAGTCATTTAATGCTGATTCTAAGAATATGGATCAAATTACAAGTCTCATTGACTAGTGTGTGTTCTCTTAGATGGAGGCAACCAATTGGAAACCTAATAGAACATAGGTTTCATCTTAACTGGCATTTGTAAGCAAGGGATTAATGCGATGATCTTGAAGAAATCTTTACTAATTATGAGATTTAATGTCAATCATTAGTTACGTCATATTCAGGTCACGGAAGAGATAGGGGTGTCTCGAATTTCTTCGGAAAACACATAAATTGGGGTTGAATGTACGAATTCCTATGGCTTCTGCTATGTATAGGAGACGGGATCGAACTCCATGAACATCTCCCAGCATGGTTTAAGAAGGGTCAGTCAAAAATAATACGCAGTTCGATCTTAGCACACCTGGTTGAGAGTGGTCATATTGTAGATAAGTCTAGATCTTTTCGGCTGATCTATCGTATACCTCCATCATTTCCCAACGGAGTTCAATCCTGTCTCCTACACATAGCAGAAGCCATAAGAATTCGTACATTCAACCCCAATTTGTGTTCAGAAGAAATTCGTGACACCCCTATCTCTTCCGTGGCACTTTATAATCAATCATACAAAAAAAGGAAATAAGTAGAACAAGTAATGAGAGTAATAACAATACCTAGATATTTAGAATAAATAATATTCAAAGAGGGAATAATGACAGAAACATGAATAGTTTATACAAACTGAGAGGTAGATGGATGGTTTTATTCGACTATCATAGTAACTAATGGTTAGAGACTTTGAATGATGTGGCTTAAAA